TTCTAAGAGCATTAAGCTTGTACGTTTCGAAATCTTGAAAGCCTATGGACAGCTAGAGGGATCATAATGTCCGGTTCTTTCTCTCCCTTCGGAGATAAAATAAACTATTTAAATTTTACACTACCCTTTGCGTACCTTGTCTTCATCAGCGTTTCTCTATTTATATTGAGCGGTGACGGGGCCTTGCGAGACAATAATCTTAGCAGGTTAAGAATGGCAGAACAAGGATCTTCCACAAAGACCTGGACTCTTTCCACTTTAGCAGAGCGATCGCTGCAAAGGAGGCTAGTTTAAATAAGGAAACAAACAGTCATAACGACCAGAGAGCTTTGTTCGAGGGGCTTGTCCAACTATTCTAGACCTGAACCAAACTATAATTTATCAAAAGACAGCAAAAAAAAATAGCGGAGATTTGTGTCAGCAATTTTTACTTACTCCTCGCCGTTATCAAGTTCCCCGAGTAGGAGTTGTTTGTGAAAAAGCCGTACCATTCCGAATTAAGTTTTAATTTGTCGTCGAGCAAACATCGACGTCTGTCGTGTTATAGCAGTACTAGCCGCGCTATATTCGCCTCATGAAATCCTCGCGAAAAATCCCAGTTCCTCGAGAAGTGTTACGAGTTTTTCCCCTCATGCAAAAAAGCAAGATGTATGTAGGTGTGTCTTAGGATAGCGTCATATCATTTTATTAGGACCTACACGTGACGAACACCAGAGGCAGAGTTTCTTCCTTCGAGAAACAAATCTTGCAAAATCTACTTTGCGGAGCGCATGAATAACCTCGAGACTTCCCTTCCTCTTAATGGGACAACGAGCGAATGCATTAATCAGCCAATCAAACTTTACTTTTCAGAAAACGTCCGGAGTGAAATCCAGACAAGAAGCTTTAGAAGACAAAGCCTCTTCATCAGATCATGGTTAGTGGATCTCCGACGCACCTAAAGAAGCAAGCACGCTGGAACTCGATGAGAGTCGCTGCAAACTGGCCGACGCGTCCGTCTTGGCGTCAACGCGTTCAGCATGTAAACTGTAACGCTTCTAAGGCACTTTAGACGGCCCGAAAAAATCGGTTTCTCGACGTATCGGCTGCGATTTACTAGAGAGGTGCAAGGGAGTGGTGGTTGTTTAGAAGGAAGGAATCAAAGAATAAACCTATCTTGTTCAAAATAAATTAAAAAAAAAACAGAAACTTGTTCTGGGCAATGGACGCCACCCCTTTGCAGACGATGCACGCGTAGAGAGAAGTGGTGCCGACAGATGGCACACGCCTCTTCGAGGGCCCTATTGGGGTTCTTTCCCTAGCAGCACACTTCTGCGGCTCAACCTGGTCCAGTTTGGCGCAAGCTTGTGCCAGGCTTCAGTCATGTTGGCTCTAGCCCGCGCCAGTCTGGCCCAAGCCTGGGCCGAGGAAGTGTGCTACTTGGGTTTGAGGCAAAATAGTTTGTTGTTGGGCGAGTTGGTGAACGTTTGGATTCATGGTTTTGCGCAAAAAAGACGGACACAAGAGAGAGAAACAAACACCAGCGCAACTTTCAACTGTATTGAAGAAACCTTTAGAAAAACATACAGATATATCGTTGATTTCAATGCGTCCACGCATGCGTCGTGTCACTATCACACGCTCGTCACAGAAACTTATCAAGGAAGCGTTTTTCAGCATTATACAAACTTATCAACAATGACGGGGCACATTTGCCTGCACACTGCAGAAACTGTAAGTGTGAGCCACGTTTTTGTGACACTGCAATTTTGGGTGGAAGTAAGAGACAAAAAGCACGTGAGCTGTTGGAAGCCTTCTTTATCAAAAAGAAAGGCGACGTATGTGTGAGCGATACCTCGATAAGTTTGTACAATGCTGAAAAACGCTTCCTTGATAAGTTTCTGTGACGAGCGTGTGATAGTGACACGACGCATGCGTGGACGCATTGGGTTTGAGGGATCGTCTGCTATCAACCGTACCGGCCTGCGCTCCCTCTACAGGGGTGTACGCTATCTGTCAAGCTGCACTTCTTTCTACGCTTGCATCGTTTGCAAAGTGGCGGCGTAGATTCCCCAAAACAAGTTTTTTTTTCTTTGTTTTTAACGTGAAAAATTATAGGTTAGGTTTTCAGATTAGGTGGAGCCCAACAGAAACGTAACCGCAAATTTCTCCGCTAAATGTAGCGGGAAAATTTAGGGGAAAACTTGTGTAGGTCGCGTGACATCGACCCATATGAAGTCATTTTCTCCGATAAATTTAGCGAGGCCGCTTCAGTGGCTCCGAGGAAAAGGGCCGGCCATACGGGTCCCCAGGTGGCGGGTTCGAATCCCGGCCGATGTGCCCGCAATCTGATGGAGGCTTATTGCGGATCAGGCGTCATCTAGGGCTTTCGGTTGCACGTCAAGAGATGCCCAGTTTGTTTAAATCAATCCTCCGTTCTCCGCTGGGGCGTGCCAGATGTCTGTCGTTGGTTTGGCACGTAAAACTTTAGAACTGACTTTGAGAAATTTCGCGGGAAAATTCCCCGTTCCATTTAGAGGGCAAGGGTGGAAGGAGTGGGTGAAGTCAATGGGGTGTAAAGGAGTCAACGAGTCATTGGTGGAAAGCTGTCAATCGGGTGGAGTATATAGTTGGTGGATTCAATTTGGGTGGAGAGGAGTGGGGAGTTCTGGAGGCAGAGCTCGAAGTGCTACGCCTGGAGGTTACTAGCGCTAAACCAAGAACGTTCCACGTAGCAACACAATTCCGAGGCAATGTGCGATACTATTTTTTTCTTCTTTCGAACGAGGTAAGTTTATTCCTCGATTTTTTCGATTGTAAACTTCCACCACCTGCTTGCAGCTTTAGTAAATCTCAGCGCGGGCCGTCTAAGCTCCTTAGAAGCGGTACCTTTACATGCTGTAGCGTAGCGTTCGTTATGCGACGCCGCAAGATGCGCTCTCAGCGACGCTGAGGGCGCGGCACCGCGTGGATTCACTTGTTGTGACGTTCGGGGGGGGGGGGGGGGGGGGGGGATGGGGGTTGGGTTGGGGAGGGGGAGGGGAGAGACGAGACGCAGGCTCTCCTAGGTGATATCCGTTATGCGGAGCTCCAGATCGTCTGCTTCTTGGGCAGGGGTAGCCGCAACGTCAAAACGACTTCGAGTTTTGTTTGGCTTCGATTGAAGGGATAGTGGGTAAACCTCAATGGCCCGAGTTTTTGTTGACGCACACCGAAAATGCACGAAACCTTAGCCATAGAGAGCTTCGCTGTAATACCTTTTAATAGACTTCACGATGGTCACTCGAGACATGCATCGGGATCCAACTGTGGCGAGAAGGCATACTAGTGGACCTTCTTCCTACGCTCTTAAATGTGCGGAGGCAGTGCTTTCTTTTGCCGACGTTTTGCGTTCTTATCGGCTGAGTCAACTTCAGTAACCATAAAAATCAAGGATCGTCGACCGCATGATAACTATGAGACGCCAGAACTATCGCAATGCAGAAGAAATGAGTGTAAGCGTGAGTTAAGCATCCCGAACACGTCCCCGAACCGACCTCTTAAGCTTTGTTGCCGGTGGAGCCACGGAGACTACTTCTCAGAACAACCAACTCTAACCGCCGAATTCAGAAACCTCACTCAAACTACACTCAAACTGAAGGGCCCCTCCACTTCCTCGAGGAAGGCGCAAGGGCCGGCGCTGGCCAATCGCGACGGCGGATCCGTCCTCGCGATTGGCCAGCGCTGGCCCTCGTGCCTTCCTCGAGGAAGTGGAGCGGCCCTTCAGTTTGAGTGTAGTTTGAGTGAGGTTTCTGAATTCGGCGGTTAGTAGCACGGTGATGGAAACAATCCATTCGTGCAAACGAAGAGGAAAAGGGGAAAAGCACGTTCACCAGCATGGCCGCGGACCCTAACCCGAATGGGGAGCGGCGTTTCTCGAAACCGCCTGAGACAACAAATTGCAAATGTGTGAGTAAATCTAGCAAGTAAAAGCTTCTACAATTTCAAACCCTCTTTACCTGTAAATTGCCATGTCTAAACAATAACTCCTATCTAAAAAAAAAAAAAAACTCTTAGCACATTTGCGGTAGTTATTAGTAAGCCTAAAAATATGTTTTCAGCCTATAGACCGTCCCTTATTTAGGCATTTTATGTCTTTTACTGACTTTACATAAACTGAAATACACGGCTTGCTCGTGACGTCATCACACCATGTTGTTGGTAATTTCTACGAGTTATTGTCTAGAAAACAAGATGGGTAGTGTGAAGTGTAAGCTGCAAACGACACACACTCGGCAGCAATATCACCGCTCTGGCGGTTTATGTGACCTCATTGCAAACCATGTATTGTGGTGGCTTGGCTACTGAGTGCATGCCTTCCGCAGCATGGAATAGACCCTTTCCGAAATTCAGTGCCATCTGGTGGTTTGTAAAGCAGTTTAGGTTTTGCCATATCAATGGCGGAAATGAACTTGGATCGGCACCGTCACTTTCGCAAGTCAACGGCACGCGAGAAATTGTTCAGTGTGAGTTCTTTCTCAATCACTCTCAGTTCGATGGTGACCAAGAACCTACATTCAGAACAAAGCTCCAACCCACTCAGGTGCCTCGAGAAAATTCTATACACCGAAGTGCTTTAAAGCCGATTGTGTGCCGCCCATCAGATTGACTGAATGTGAGTTATTAGAAGCAAACGCTTACGTAGCTCTTGTGTTCCATTCCTACGTCGCGTCGTACTGACCCCCCGAATGTACAGGCCTCGCAAGATCCGCTGAGGAGCATCTTCAACGTCTTCCTTTATCAGTCACTAGAAGGCCGCCATTGGTATGGCACAGATGTCGTTCCACAGATGATGATAGTGATCAAAGTGGCCAGACTGAATTTCGGAAAGGGTCTATTTTCACGAGCGAATGGGCTTGTCTAGAAAAAACCAAGAAGGGGTGCGCACCTGCATGGTGCGACGAGGCCACCTACAAGACATGTACAGGGTTGGAACCGTACAAAAGCGAAGCGCAAGCGTGTTGCTCGCGACTTGTAGGCACTCACTTGGGCAAGTGAACTGCGGCTCTTATTGCATGCATGCCGGAGACAAGGTTCCTGAAGCGCTGACCAGTTAGGCTCTGCTTCAGCCGATCCACTCCGTCGTTTTCCCGAGGCAGCAGGATGGTCATGCTAAGGTTGTTGCTTCGGTACGGCAAATCCACCACGACGGCGCTCAGAGCCTTTGAGGCTGCATAATTCACGGTGAAAGTGTTGCTCATGGTGTCAACCTGAGCACCCGTAACACCGTCATTAAGGAACTGCCGTTTCGTGGTGTTTTTCTTAGAGAAGAGTGCGTTCCAAGCTCCCTTGAAGTAGACGGCGTTCAGGAGCACCAGCTTCGTCTCTGGATCGAACTCGTGGTCGACGAACCCTTCAATCTGGTAGTCCGTGTGGCGTTGCACCCACGCATTAACGTACCTCATCAGGAACTGTCCCGATTTCTCAAAGTTGACCTTAAGGAGCGCCGCACTGAAGGAACGCGTCAGCGTTTTCTTGTAAATGTACGAGACGTTGAAGCTTTCGTCGATCAGCACAGCGTTCGCCACTTGAAGATTGGGCCACAAGGCATCCACAAACCCTGTTTCTTTAGCACGCTGGGCGAACGCGCCCAAGACGTCCGAAAAAGTCATTACGAAGGCGGGAAATTTCAGTTGGCGGAAGAGTATATCGTTGCTCTTTCCCTGGCATCCAGCGTAGAGCATACCTACCATGCTAGAAACGCCGTACGGCGAAAAGAAGATGTTTCCTTCTTTCGAGGTCGGCAGAGCTCGCAGTATATCAAACCCAAGGTTGTTACTCACAGTGGTCACTTGATTGCCGATGGTCATGCATACCACCAGAAGGAACGTCAGAGCAGATAATATCGCCATATTAACGTTATTCGGCGCAACAAGGGAGGCACTGTCCTTTTTGTATGGCTGAAACGCGGGCTGCAAGGAACCTATTGAGAAAAGAACGTTGTTCAAGATGGTCACGTGCATCTGCAGCACGGGTGGAGCGCGTGCAGCTCTATTATGTACTAGATCGTAAAAAAAATTAATGGCAGATGTACCGGGTGAAACAAGGAGACGGTAGGCTCTTTAAATCGACCGGAAAATTCGGTTTCTTAACCTATCGCGCTACGACTTTGTGCAGCGTTGCCCACAGATGGTGCATTTTTTTCGTAAAATTTGCAAAGAGCGAACTTACCCGAGGAAAAAGTAAAGAAAGAAAAAGGCTTAGCTCCTATGGAAACGCAGCGACGCCACCGGTCTTCAAACAACACGGCGCCGTTTCGCACTGGACACAAGAGATGGCGCAACGAACGCCGCAACGAACGAGCATATGGCAACGGTTAAACCAGCTGAACTACGAAATTAGGGAGAAAGGAGTAAAGATAGGTGATCGCTGGACTACCAACAAAAAAAAGCAGACCTTTTTAGCAGACGATCTTTTCGACTCAAAAGCGGAGCGCGTTCCGTAGGCGGCGACAGTCGCAGAAACAAAAAAGACGGGCGCGGTAACAGCAAGGAACTGCAGTTCCTTGTCTGCAAAAGGGCCGACTCTCGGCGTCGTCTGCTCGTTCGTTAGCGGCAGTTGGCGTCGCGACCGCTTGCGCCATCTCTTGTCTCCCGTGCGAAGCGGCGCCGTTTTGTTTGCAGACCGGAAGCGTCGCTGCGTTTCCATAGGAGCTAAGCCTTTTTCTTTCTTTACTTTTTCCTCAGGTAAGTTCGCTCTTTGCACATTTTACAAAAAAGAAATGCACTATCTGTGGGCAACGCTGCACAAAGTCGTAGCGCGATAGGTTAAGAAACCGAATTTTCCGGTCGATTTAAAGAGCCTACCGTCTCCTTGTTTCACCCGGTAGTTATAGTCGGTTGCAAGCTAAGAAAAAACCCGAAATGCCTCTCAGAGGAAAATGTAATCCTACGCCGAGAAACGCCAGCCAATCGTTTTCATGACGTCACGATTCCGTGGACCAATCGCGATCCTTTTGAAAGAAAAAAAAGCTAAACATGGCTGCTGGCCTTAGCAACGCGACGCTAGTTTCTCGTGACAATTATTCTGCTTTTTTTCACCGTGCTTTACGTGCCCGAGGTTACGCCACGAAATCTTAATGGTATCGGCTTGCGTTTGCAGCAGTTTTTGCGCGAAACGTGAGAATCCAGCGACGCTATCGCCAACGAAAATTTCGAAGCGGGCGCGAGGCTTAGCACTGCTGAGAGGTGAGAAGCTACGCCGGACGTCGTCTGCTTCGTTGGATTGTGCTTCTTGAAGAACCGCTTTGGTGTCGCCGGTAAGGCTGCACCAGGCTGTTTCGTCCAAGAAGAATCAGGGGAATCACTTTCAGATGTCACCTCAGTGGGATCCATGACGGAAGACAAAGAGAGCGGGGCGCGGTGGTGGTGTCGATGACTTGGGAGGGTGCCGATTTGTCAAAACCCGAAAAGTATAATTATTCTTGTTTTCTGTTCATCCAACAAAATAAAGGCACACATTTCTTGCGCAAAGCCCACAAAACTAAGTAAATCACTAAATATTTATTATTTGCAGGAAAACTATAAGTGCTTCGCTCTCCCTCAATCGAAGGCGCTGGAAGACGGTATGTTAGACAGTATCTTGGACAGAAAATGAATTGGGAAGACGGTACATTGGACATGACTTTCTTTCTTTACTAAACAGCTATTTCGTTGACAAAAACGTATTCTAAATTATTTAAATGTCCTGAATGAATTAAATAAATATTGTAGTAGCTTAAGACACGTTTCCTGGAGGAAGAAAAAGCAGCGTTGCTAGCGAACTACTTTCTCGACGGCGGAGGCACTTCAAATGGGCGCAATGCGCTTGTGGGTGGAGCTAAAAGATTGTTCTTAGGTTGCATCCGACTATAGTCAGATTGGTCACACAGAGGCTGAAAGGGCAATGCAGCAATTTTTCTACTTTTAGTAAATAACGCCTAGGCTTATTCATTTAAATTAATAACCTAGGAAACACCGGTTTGTTGCTGTTGCTTTTCTCCACGCAAAGCCACTCGCAGCAAAATATCAGGAAAAACAAGTAGCGTTCGCCTCTTCAACTCGCAATCAAAACAACGTTGGTCAGAACAAGCGGCCGCGTGAGAAATCCAGAAATATGATCGTTTTGACTGTTTGTAGCGCCTTTTGAGGCATTTTTGGAAATAAAATTATTTAAGAGACAGTCGTGACTAAACGCTTGGCCGTACTTACTAGAGATGCCTCTAATCTTAAACTTAAGACCATGACGAGAAAACTAAATATAGTTGTATTTGCGTATTTTTGTAAATAAACCCGCCCTGTTAAATTTATTTTCAACTTGATAAACGAAAAACAAACGCGCGAGGTGCTCGAGGCGTTCACCATCTTGAGCCTGACCGATCGCTGCGTTAGCCAGCCGTCGGTAGCTTTGAGCGAAGAAGAAGTTGCCTTCTTGCGATCATTTGACTGCGGATGATCTGTTTCCCCCGGGTGACGTTGTCCCCTGTAAAAAGTAGTGCTTCATCTTTCTCTTCTTCACTTAATATTCTAGAGTTGTGAGTGCGTGCCTGTCTGTGTTCTGTGTTCCTTCCTCGTTTGTCCTCGTCTCTTTGTGCGCGATTTTAACCATGTTCAACCGTCACCTGCGTCCCCAGCGCGGTTCGTGAATACCTAGAACGCCGCCAAAGGGAGATCGGAAGGCAGGAATGGGATTTCACGGACGAGTGGCAAATGAACTGGTTCAGGGATATCTCGGCTGGTCTACTTTTGAGGCGCGGGAGGCCAACAGTAAGATGCAATATTACGCCCGACTGCGACATATGGATGGAGATTGCTGGGCGAGATGGGTATTCGTGTACATCCACCTACAAAACGTACACACAACATGGAGGCGACGTGTCACCCGGCTTGTTACGAAGAATGGTGCTTTCGCTAAGGTCGCTGAGCCTACGTCTAAAGGCCCATACGCACATTCGCGTTTGAGCGCAATGCGTTCCGTAGCGGCAGCGGACGCGTTGCGTTGCGAAGACCGCTTGCGCCAAACGTGTACGCACAGTTGTATTGACACGCAGTCAACCGCAGTCAAGAGCCAATAAGAACGTGCTATCGTCGCTAGCGCCTCACCAATAGTAAGCAAAATCCAAGGCAACATGGCCGCGCACAGCGACAGCGTCAAAGTGTTCGATCTTGGGACAATCCCGCCGGCTTCCCCGACGTTTTGTCAAGCTTGAACCATCGCTGCCTTGGAGAATACACTTCCCACCGCTCCCCAAAACGAAAAAGCAAGTTCTGCGGGCGGAGAACCGGATACCTCTCGCCGAGTCGGCCAAGTGGGGCGAGCGAACACGTCACCCTCCTCTCCTCTCTCGGCTTCTGATTGGTCGAACGCACCGCAACTCTTCGTAAAGTTGAGTGAGTCTCTACTCGCTTGCGTCGCGCTACGGAGCGCAGCGGGAAGGCGCGCGTCGCACCAGAAGCGACCGCTTCTGGGCGCAAGGACGCCGCAACGCACTCAAACGCGTTCAAACGCGAATGTGCGCATGGGGCGGGCGGGCGTTGACGATCCGCGGGCCTGGACAGCAGTGGGCGTACAGGAGCGCGTCTTGCCTCATCTCTGGCCAGTTCGCGGCAAGGCATAACTTATGGAAAGTCTTGCTGACACTGCCATGACGTGCCAGAACTGAGTCCGTGGAAGTACCCCCTAAACCTCTTCCGTAGCTCCCTGGGAATCACAGCGCGGAAGGGAGACTGATTACCCTCTGCTTCATGGATCGTTGGTATGTAGCGAAGCAATAAGCCGTCTTCGCCTAGCATATGCGAAACAAATTGTTCATAACTCGTCCGCCAGCCTTCCCGGTGTCAATCGCAATTTCCACAAGTTTTCCCAACACCCACTAATAAAAACCACCTTCTATCTGGGCCTCGACAAGCTCGACAACCTCACCCCTGCACCCGGAGACATTTTTTCTCCGTACTCCTTGTTACTCCCTGGTTGCGTCACCTCCTCCCAACCGCCATCATGGGGCACCCGAGGGCGCGCGTTTGCGACCTTGTTGGTCGAGCCCTTTCGGTACTCAACCATGTACGAGTAGCGCTGCAAGGTTATAGTACCTAGCGAGCCAGCCTTGCCGCTGGCTCTTTTAGCCGCTGAATCCAGGTAAGTGCTGCGTGATCAGTCTGAATGACAAAAGTCGAACCGTCTAAATAAAAGTCGAACTTCTTCGGAGCAAACATGACAGCCAACCCCTCCTTTTCCGTCACGCTGTAGCTGCGTTCCGATGTTGTGAGCGTTCGACTAGCGAATGCCACAGAGCGTAACTGTGCATCAAGCTCCTGTAGCAATACCGCTCCGACACCGAAGTCGCCCGCATCCGTCTGTGCAACAAAATGCCGATTAAGATCGGGTGAGCGAAGGCTAACGGTGTTTGCTATTGCCCTCGGTCTACTAATGATCGCTGCCCGATCGGTATGCGCTTCGTTCGTCTCCCCGGGAGTGACACACTGCAACGAGAAGACAGCGAATCGGTTTACTGTACTTCCCGCTTGACCGTCCTCGAGACCCGGCATTCCGGGCCAGCCTACCCTGGTTGTCGCCCGTCATTCAGAGCTCGCAGTCGGAGTCCGTGTCCAGGCCTGCGGATCGTCCTTCCCACGCCAGCGCTGCGTAGGCTATAGCTGTCCAGGGCTATCATAGCCCGAGTCTCGCTGCGGAACCTCTCCGAGATCGTCATGGCCCAGGCCGGTATGTCCAGGGCTCGCCGATCCCTCCGGTTCTGGTCAGAACCTCGCTGGTGAACCGCTCCGGGGATCGCCATGGGCTAGACCAGAGCCTTATATGTAGAGAGTTTTGCCATTCGTTGGGAAGTATAGGAGACAAATGAGGAGGCGCCATTGGCCGAAAGCGGGCTGGGCGTGTTCCAGGGCGTCTTCACAAATTCGAATGTGACCAACCAGAAGCCGGAAATAGTACCCTGGCGGTTGTCGCGAGAAACAAACCTGATAACTGCATCGGAGTAACTCTGGGTGACTGAAATTATGGTACACGTGATGTTTCAATCACGCTAATCCAAAATGATGGTGGAAGAACGCGGCTAGCGGAACGGCTGAGCGGTCACACTCTGTCCGAGCAAAACAGAGTTGAGCGGCGCATTTGTTTCTTACATCTTTCTACATCATCATGATCAAAACATCACGTGCATCCTATTTTCAACAACGAAGAGTTACTACACTTCACTCTTACGCGCTTATTAAAACCATATACGAACATGCACCTTTCATCAGAACTGTTTCTCGCTACCACCGCTAGGGGATTCTTTTCGGCTTCTGGTTGGTCAAGAGAGCACGCCAAGCCCCCTTTCCGAGTCTGGTGAACGCCTTGACCTTGCCCACGCCTCCCATTGACCAGACTCTCTAAATACACGGCTCTGGGCCAGACCAGCCAGACCGGCTCCGTCGTTCCTGCCCGGCCCCCAGCCTCGCGCAGCACGCACTGTCTTGCGCCAGTTCGTGGCTCTTCGGCCGACCGCCTGTCACGTGCCCTCCGCCCCGTCTTCTTCGACCCTCGTCTCGTACATCTTCGAAAGGAATTTAAAAGACCACTCTTCAAATATTGTATGGAAAGCATTATAGGAACTTGGAGAAAAAGGTCGCTGCCAACTTTTTGTCATCACAAATCGAGAGTCAATCGTCAAAAAGTGTATTTATTGCTTCTAAAGAGTTCCGATGGTGTTGGATCTTCTCACTCCAGAAACTGTTTCCAGAAGTCGCAATTTTTGGCGCCGATGTCGTACTGCGTAGAGTAATTTCCAGGTTGAAGCCACAGGAACGCAGGATTTGAGGGAGTGTGCCGGGTCCAGTTAACGCCATCAAGTTGCGGCGTCCTGCGCGAAAACCAGGCATGACGATTTCGCGTCGTCAGGGGTTAACCAGGGTCGAATGTTCATCAGCGACACGACTGACCGGCTTTCCACCGTACCTATTACCTGGTAATATCAGGGTGTAAACAGCTTAAAAATGGATGAAAAAGTTTGTAAATTGCCGGTAGTTTATCAGCGTAACGTTTAGTTCACACATTTACTTCTAGCTGTGCCGAGTGTGTTGTGACCTCCTGTAACCTCTGGCACACTGGCGCCATCTATTGTGCAGCGCTGCCACATTCCTGACCCGCGTACCGTAATACCCCCGGAGATAACCTACCCCCGAGAAATAACCACCGCATTTTGGCAGGATTTGCTGTTTTCAGGAACACCGGAATATAACCCAGTGCTATTAATAGCAGGGCCCTGGCCAATGGTGACGTCGGCAGAAATGGTGTTACTTAGCCGCGACGGGAGATAAGCGAACATTGCTGACTGGGAAGGACAGGCGTCTTTTGTTCATCGCCCTTCCCTGCAGTCACAAGTTTCGCAGCCACAAAACCTAAAACTAGAATTTTTTTAAACGTTTTTGATCGCACTTCGCAAGTTACCCCACTCCATAATTTCACCCGATTTGCTTTCGTTTATAGGTGGGCTACCTCTCGGGATACTACGGTATACATTTATAACATTTTTTTACTTATAAAGCCTTTACCGCAGGCTTGAAATAATTCCGATATTGATATAAGCCAATGTTTCTCATAAATAATGGGTAGGTTTGATGTCGAAAATACTGCAAAATATTTGGTCTGGTTATTCGCAGTTTCGAAATATTCCAAGTCTACCCGATCAATGATTACAATTTGCCAATGTCTATCAGAGGTCACAATACAGTCGGCACAGACAAACGCAAATACCTCAAATAGCTTTAAAGGGTAACTGCAAAGAAAAAAAAGTTTTTTTTTTTTTGAACAGCCTAATTGGGACAAGCATGTCACAAAACAAATGTTCCGCGAAAAAAATGATTTTTTTTTTATCAATATTTACGCCACAGAACGTAATTTAGTAGAGTGAGAACCTCTCCACATTTGAAACTCCCGCTCTTTCGACCCCCGCGGAAGAGGAGTACGCCCCGCCCCTCACTCTCCTTGCGTTGCGGAGTTGAACTGGTTGAACGACGCAGCGTCTCGACTTCCGGCAAGATCTGGCAACTACGCCAGGCGGCGGCACCGCGGTATTGTTTTGGTTTGACGCGGTTTGCGAGCATATGTAGCGAAGACGTGGCCGGAGAAGTGCCCCTGTGATGTTCCCGGAAGACGGAAAGTATCGTTCGTAGTCGTCGTGCGCGCTTTTATAGCGAAGGGAGTCACAGAATCCACGAGTGCGCAACCACAAGCCAAGGTTCACGACAGCGCTGCGTTGGTTTCGGCGATCTCGTTCTGTTTGGTGCAACACGGCGATGCGACAGAGCTGAAACGTTCGTGGTGTGTGTAATGCGGTGCTAACACGGAGAGCAAATTGGTTGTTGTGGGGTTGACGTTCAACCAGTTAAGTCCCGTCGTCGTCAGCTGATCCAGTCAAACTGGTCCGGGAGGACGCTGGGAGCGTTTTTAAAAGTAAATCTGCCTCGTTCTGTTTCAAAATGTGCAAGTTTCCCGACGCATACCGTGAGTAAAAAGCTGCGGGCGTTTTCAACAAAATTACGTCGTTTTAATTGAACAATAGACTCCGAATTGTTGTTCTAATTCTGCCGTTTTTATGCTTCGTGTTGGACTGAGTTTGTACAGCGACGTGTTGCATCGTGCGGTGTGAATAAATGTGGGCAGGATTTCGTACCTGCCTACAGATGCATGAACTGAGACCATTTTTACGTAGTGGACATAGTGCTTTTTTATTTTCTGTCTAGTCGCGGACGTTAGGTGCACACGGGGCGAATCTCGACGGCCTCCAGAGCGATATGACGAGAACGTAACTTGACACGTTGGTCGCTACGCGAACGCCCGATTGCCTCCAGCCAAATAGCATTCCTTTCGGGGCGACATGGCTGCTGGAAGGCTCACTGTCGGGATCACACATCTGACATCTCCGAAAAGTCAGCATTTGCACGCGCAAACAAGCAACCAACAAAAAAAAAAAAAAAAAAAAAAAACACTCTAAGCAAGCAAAGAGGCAAACGAAAGAACCGCGCTATGAAAGCCAAAACCCCGCGTCGCTTCCTATCACTAACACCTGCGACAGCTGCTAAACACACACTACTTCACTCCAAGAACTCTCACTCAAGCACCTGGGTCAGCACGAAACGACGAAACACTGATCACTTCGGTGAAACGATTAGTCGAGGTAGGCGAGACAGGCAGGAGCAGAGACTTCGGCGGCCATGAAAGAATGGCGAAGCGCTTTTGTTTGTATGAATCCAAACGGAAGTGCCCGTCTTGTAAACCTTTTGTAAAGAATAATAACTCTCATCACATGGGTTATTCTTTAAACGTAAAAATATGCCGCTCAAAAGGAAATTGCAACATATAACAAAGGTTTAACAACCGGATCTAAGCTGTCAATCAAACTCTTAGCCAATGAGAACCTTTTGGGATTGACGTCACATAATCACAACTTCGTGGCGCGCGATTTAAAACGGACGAAATAGCCGCAAACTAAAATGAGTCTCACGCAATAAATATTGCTGTAAAAAATGTTTTTTCTCGCGGAAAAATTGTTTTTTGACATGCTTGTCCCAAGTAGGCTATTTAAAAAAAAACTTTTTTTGCTTTGCAGTTACCCTTTAAGGCGTGAAAACCCGCCCAAACTCTAATGAGGCAAAATAACCTTTGGTTATACTGAGCTATGTACTTCGACTAATACGGCAAACGGGTGTAGACATATATGATATGTACAAATCGTATAAACACGAGTCAGAGTCCACAAAGTACGGCCGTCAACGCAAAGGTGCAGCCAGTGTAATAGGCCGGCACTCGGAAGGAATATGTACGCGGAGAGCGAGTCGTCTGCTTATCGCGCAGGGGTTGCTGTGGCGTCATAACGACGCCGAGTTCTGATCGGCTTTGGCTGAAAGGATACTGAGTAGACCTCAATGCTAGACGGAGTAGACGCCTCAAGGTCCACTCACTATTTTTTTTTTTCAATCAGCCAGTAAGAGCTCGGCGTTCTGGTAACGTCGTAACCCAATGGCATGAAGCAGACGAACTTGCGCTCCGCATAAACGGGACAAAACGGCAATGGATTTGAGAAAAAGGGGACAACAAAATGAAAGTTGTCACCTTAATCCCGCAGTATAATTTTTATGGGGGAATTTATAGACGTCTAGTTCTTAATCTCTCGGAGAACTTAAAGCAAAAAATGGCAGCTTTCTTTCCGTTAATTGTCATATTGTCCAAGTACCCGGTATAAACGTATGTACCAATGTAGCGATGCAGGCGAGTTGATGTGGTTGTTTTGCTCGGCGTTTCCTTTCAATTAAACGTTCAGTTGACGTTCGGCGCTCATCCTGTTCATTCCTTCTTTGGTCTGTGTAATTATTGGGCGCTGCTACCAGTTTGTAAAAATATGTATACGTTCTCACAAGACGCAAAAATAAGCTTGTTCTGAATCTCCATAAGATGCGAATCACTGTACTGTTGGTTATTAAGTAACACGCAGTGTCGCGGCGTAAAGTGTGGCTACAGCGACGTGCCCGTCAAGGAGGGATGTGTGGTAGCCTCCATGTCATCACATCGTTTATTAGGACTGACTTTTGAAAAAAAGAAACAAACCCAAGAAAACAAAAGGGGAGCTAACGCGCGTTCTATTTGGTGGCAGGATTACATACTGTATAACAGTATGTAATACCCCCCCCCCCGCCCACTCCTTTAATGTGCCACTACGCCGGTTACACACCTCAAGACCCCGGTGTTCGTAAAGTTCACGTGTTCCTCTTCCATTGAGTGCCTTGGTCAGGACGTCAGAGTAGTTGTCTGATGGCTCCAGGTACAGTTATCCTATACTTTCTTCTTCAATATTCCTTCTTAAGAAGAAATGACGTAGGTCAGCATATTTGCTGCGCCTAGCTGTCACTTGCTTGCTTGCAAGAGCGATAGCTCCTTGATTGTTAACTTGCAAAACCTGTGGCTCAACGACGAACTTTTGGCCGCCTATTTCGTTGTGCAAGTGTTGCAGCCACAGTATCTCCTTTGCCGCTTGTCACATTGAAAAGTATTCTGCCTCCAGACTGGGTAATGCAGTGGAGGTCTGCTTTATCCAGCACGGAAATGGCAGCTCCATCCGGCATGAAAGAGCGCCCACTAAATACCCGCCTGTCATACGTATAAGTTGCCCAATCTGTGTCACATAAGCCTTGCACACAGCTTCCTGTTTTCGTGCATACGAGGGTATAATGCTTTGTCTGTCGCACATACCTCAAAAACTGCTTCATGCCGTTCCACCTTTCCAAGGTGGGGCGCTCCCTGAATTGGCTGATACAAGTGGCGGCTAATGCCAAATCTGGCATTGTGCCTCCCGCTGAGTAAAGAAGCACTCCAACCGTTTGTCTGTACGTCGGCTTCAACCTGTGTTCATCGGTCGTAGTTTATCTTTGAAACATCATTCGAGGATCAAGCGGTAATGCTGCCTTTTTAGCATTAACCATCCAAAATGACTCCAAGAGTTCTTCGGCGTACACTGTTTGGTTCGATGTGAGTGCTCCATCTTCATGCGCACAACTTTGGCAAAATGTGGCTTACCTCTCCGATTCCCTTGGTGTTAAATGTGGGTCGAATGCCGGTCTTGTAGCTCTTGATCTCCTTTTCGTCCTTTGCAAGAATAAGGATGTCATCCAAGATACCTACGATGATGTTTCCCCCTCCCCCCCCCCCCCCCTTCCGCGCTTAAAGTACACGCATGAATCCGCCTTGGACCGAGAAAACCCTTTCGTGTTCAAAAGCTTGTCCAGTTGTAAGTTCCATTCCCTTCCGGATTAACGTAGCCCATGGAGGCTCTCCTTCAAGAGACAGATATCGCCCTTACGGCACTCG